TATTTGGCCGGTTGCGGTGTCTCTCGCTGACCCCTCTGGGGGTCCTGTCCTGTCTCACTTCTCCACAGTCCTCCCGTGTCCGGCGGCTCCCTCTGGCACCCTCTCTGACTCGGACTTTCCTATTCTGCGTCTGCACTCTGACCAAGGCGGAGAGTTCTCCTCTGGCCTTCTGCGAGCCTACTGTCGCGCACGAGGAATCCGTCAAACCTTTACGCTTCCGGACTGCCCGCAGCAAAATGGGATTGCTGAGCGCCGCATTGGCATGGTCATGGACGTCGCTCGTACGTCTATGATGCATGCGGCTGCTCCCCATTTTCTGTGGCCGTTTGCGGTGAGGTACGCGGCGCATCAGATCAACCTACACCCCAAGGTCTCAAGGCTGGAGACCTCCCCAGCCTTGCTGTGGACGAGGAAGGTTGGCGATGCGTCGGCGTTACGGGTCTGGGGATCTCGGGCGTTTGTCCGCGACTTGTCTGCGGACAAGCTGTCCCCTTGTGCTGCTCCTTGCGTTTTCCTGGGGTTCCCCCTGGACGCGTCTGGGTGGCAGTTCTACAACCCTACCTCTCGCCGTGTTCTGTCCTCCCAGGACGTCACGTTTGACGAGTCGGTCCCCTACTACCGCCTCTTCCCCTACCGCACTCCGTCCCTCCCCCCGCCGCCGCTCTTCCTTGTACCAGGTCCCTCTCCGGTAGACCCCCTCCCCCCTCAGGGTCCGTCCCCTTCAGGTGTGTCCCAGGTAGACGCAATCGAGCATGTCGAGGTCACTGGTGACTCAGGTGCTGCTGAGGGTGCTGAGCCTGGGGGTGCTGACACTGGGGGTGCTGAGCCTGGGGGTGCTGAGCCTGGTGGTGCTGAGATTGGGGGTGCTGAGCCCAGGCGTGCTGAGCCTGGGGGTGCTGCGCCTGGGTTGCTGAGCCTGGGGGTGCTGAGCCTGGGGGTGCTGAGCTTGGAGGTGCTGCGCCTGGGGGTGCTGAGCCTGGGGGTGCTGAGCCAGGGGGTGCTAAGCCGGGGTGTGCTTAGCTTGGGGGTGCTGAGCTTGGAGGTGCTCCGCCTGGAGGTTCTCCGGGTGCTTCGTCTCTGCGGGAGCCGCTCTCTCCACGGGAGCTGCGCGAGTGGTTTGCCCGGCGCTGGAGTCGTGCTGCTGGTGCTGGAGGTTCTTCGGCTACTAAGGGTGCTGCTATCGCGGGTCCTGGGGGTGCTCGTGCTGGGAGTACTGGAGCTGCTGGGCCTGCAGGTTCGACTGGAGCTGGTGCTGCTGAGGGTGTTGGAGCTGAGACTACTGCTGGCGGTGATGCTGCGAGTACTCCTGGTACTGCTGGAGGTTCTGGCGCTGCTGGAGGTGCAGCTGGAGCGAGTGCTCCTGCTGGGGGTATTGGTGCTGTACCTGCAGTGTCTGGCGTCGCCGCGTGGCCTCGACCGTACTTCGTTCCACTCCTGCAGCAGGTTCTTGGTCTTCCACCTTCTACTGGTCCTCCTCTTTCTTTAGGGTGTCCACAGCCAGTCCCGTCGCAGTTACAGTTGCAGTCTACCTCCCCTTTGCCTGCTCCTTCTCCCTAGACTGGTCCTACTAGAGGTCTTACTGAGCGTCAAGAGTCTGCGTCACGCCCTACGTTGCCTGTCCGTGCTGCTCGCGCTAGTGGTCGTGGTTCGCGTCCGCGTCCTCCTCCTGTCCCTGGCACGCACAAGATGTCTCTCCGTCCGTCCACTGCTCCTCTGCGTGCCCCTTTGCCTTCTCCTCATGAGTCCTCTGTTCCTGCTTTTGCCGACCCGGAGTCGGACTCTCTTCGTGCTGCCAGTCCTACTGTCACGCGTCTCCTGGCTATTGTCGTCAGTGACCCTTCCTTCGAGTCCACTGCTGCGTCGGCCCTAGTTTCTGAGCTCGTCGACTTTGCTGCTCGCTGTTGCGTAGACTAGGCTGCTAGTCTTGTCGCTGAGTCTAAGTCTGTCTGTCCTCCGTCCGTCGGGGGTGAGTGTGCCCTTGGCACGGGCGTCCTTGAGGACAGGCAGGAGGAGTTCCAGTGCTTGGCAGCTGCTTCACCTCATCTCGTGTCCGTACTGCTTACCCCTGAGGGAGACCCGGATGCACTTGACATCTCGACTCCGCGCTCTTACGCGGAGGCGATAGAGGGTCCCTACTCCACTCAGTGGCAGGCAGCTATGGATGCAGAGATGGCTTCCTGGAAGTCCACAGGCACCTACGTTGACGCTGTCCCCCCTCCTGGGGCGAACATCGTCAATGGCATGTGGATCTTCAGGGTGAAGCGGCCGCCGGGTTCTCCGCCTGTCTTCAAGGCGCGTTACGTGGCTCGTGCCTTCAGTCAGCGGCAGGGAGTTCACTACTTTCAGACCTTCTCTCCCACCCCGAAGATGACCACTCTTCGGGTACTGCTGCACGTTGCTGCTCACCGTGACTACAAGCTGCACTCTCTCGACTTCAGCACAGCTTTCTTTCAGGGCAGCCTGCACGAGGAGATCTGGCTGCGCCACCCACCTGGCTTCACTGGGTCTTTCCCTCCTGATACCCCGTGGAGTCTCCGGCGTCCAGTCTACGGTCTCCGCCAGGCGGGACACACTGAGGACTACACTTGCGGCTCTTGGGTTTGCTCCTTCTACTGCCGACCCGTCGCTGTTTCTGTGCACCGACACCTCTGTGCCGCCGTTCTACATCCTCGTGTATGTCGACGACTTGGTCTTTACCACAGCTGACACTGCTGGACTCGCCCACGTGAAGTCCGAGCTGCAGAAAAGACACACGTGCACAGACCTGGGTGAAATGCGCAGCTACCTTGGCTTGCAGATCACCCGGGACAGAGCCCGCCACACCATTACCCTGACTCAGTCACACATAGTGCAGCAGGTCCTTCAGCGCTTCGGCTTCACGTACTCCTCGCCTCAGGCCACTCCTTTGCCTACTCGCCACTCGCTCTCAGCTCTACCTTCAGATGAGTCCGTAGAGTCGAGTGGCCCGTATCCAGAGCTTGTTGGCTGCCTCATGTACCTGATGACCTGCACACGACCTGACCTTGCATACCCTCTTAGCATTCTCTCACGCTATGTTGCTCCTGGGAGACACCGACAAGAGCACATGGCTGCAGCGAAGAGGGTGTTGCGCTACTTGTGCAGTACGTCGAGCATGGGGCTAGTGCTTGGAGGGCGGAGTCCAGTGGTCCTCACTGTGCACGCGGACGCCTCTTGGGCTGACGACCAGGCTACGCAGCGGTCGTCACAGGGATACACCTTCAGCCTTGGTTCCGGCTCTGTTTTGAGGCGAGCTACTCGCTCGTCTTCTGTTCTCGGCTCCAGTTGTGAGGCTGAGATCTACGCCGGGGCCATGGCTGCACAGGAGCTTCGCTGGCTCACCTACCTGCTGACCGACCTTGGAGAGTCGCCTCGTTCTCCTCCAGTCCTGTACGTAGACAACAAGGCCATGCTGGCCTTGTGTCGAGAGCAGAGACTGGAGCACAGAACATAACACATTGCTCTTCGCTTCTTCCTTGCTCGTGAGCTACGGCGGCGTGGTCAGTTGCGGCTTCCGTACGTGGCCTCTGAGGCCAACACTGCTGATGTCTTCACCAAGGCACTTGCGCCTTGTGATCATCAGCGCTTCGGCACGCAGATGGGTCTTGTGCCTGTCTTGCCTCACTTGTTCACCTCTTGACCTTGCTTGTACTGTTGCATATATATACACCTGCTCCTGCTTGTCTAGTCATTTAAAGAGATGTACTCCTGCATGTGAATTGGCCTTGTGGCGTTGAACTTGTGCTCAGAATGTGTGGTGACTTTGTGATCCACCCAGAGCTTGCTTTGCTTTGCTTTGCTTGACTGGTCTTGTGACCCCTTGTTCTCCCCCACTTTGCCTATGGGGGTGTGTCAAAACATATAGCTTGTGCTTATTGTGTAGGCTATAGTGGGGTAGCCCATAAGGGGTACAACCCAATGAGAAAAGTAGAACGAGAATGAATGACTAAGGAATGGAAGTGATACAAATATGCAACCCTAGAAATATGTACCCCATATGGGCTACCCCACTATAGCCTATACAATATTATAATTTGACACACCCCCATAAGCAAAGTGGGGGAGAACTAGGGGTCACAAGACCAGTCAAGCAAAGCAGACAAAGCTTAGGGTGGATCACAACGTCACCACACAGTCCGAGCACAAGGTCAAGGCCACAAAACCAGTTCACATGCAGGAGTACACACACACATATATATATGTATATAAGGCTAAACAAGCAAGAGCAGGTATATATATATATATATATATGTAAGAGTACAAGTAAGGTCAAGGGGTGAGCAAGTGAGGCAAAACAGGCACAAGATCCAGCTGCGCGGATCCAGTCGATCAACACCTCAGCGACATCACCCTTGCTGCGCAAGGGGAAGACTGTGGTGTAACGCAAGTAGTCGTCAACCACCAGCAGGAAGTAGCGCTCGTGACCCTGTCCACGGACGCGGGCCGGGACCCACAGGTCCATGTGAAGCGTCTGCAGCGGGGCCTCTGTCGGGGAAACTGAGAGGAGTGAGGGGCAGCTCGGAGCCGCCCCTCTACACAGGGGACACAGGAAGGACCAGGCCCCGGAGGAAGGGGAGGGAGGGATCGGGGAAGACTAGAGACAAGGACACGGGAAGCCATGCCTCGGAGACGGGGCAGAGAGGGGTGACCAAGACGGTGGTGCCAGAGGAGAGTCTCGTGAGACAGGAGGCGACACAAGCAGGGGGCAGACTCAGGACCAGACCTGGACGCTGCAGCAAACACCTGACCCGACGCAGCTACCTGACCAGACGCAGTGACTGGAGAAGACGTAGTGGTCAGTGTGTACAGGCTCGACCCCGGCCGACGTGTAAACGTGGCCAGGTGTCGGCCTATCCGAGCGTCCGTGCAGTGGGTCACCCGCTGACTCGCAGCAGTGAACTTGGTGAACCCCCGTATCCTGCAGGTCAGCACCACTCACCAAGTTCGTAGAGAACGAGGGGAGGTAAAGACCAGACAAGGTGCTAGAGGGGGCTGCCGAACACGGGAGGACAGTGGAGAAGTGAGAGAGGACAGGACCCCCAGAGGGGTCTGCCAGGGAGACTGCAACAGGCCGACCAAGCGGCGTGAGTGTGGTGCGATCTCGAAAGAAGGAGCAAGAAGCCCCTGAGTCATGTGTGAAGGTGAGGGAGGCCAAAGCCGACGTGGTACCTAAGAGCGCAGACTCACCAGCACCTGAGGGCGCGGACGCACTGCCACCTAGAGCAGCAGCCTCACCAGTACCTAGAGCAGCAGTACCAATGCCCGGGTCGGGCGGGAAACACCGGTAACAGTCACCCTCATCACTAATAGTCACAGCATACGTGGCAGCAAGGATAGCATCAAAGTCAAGATCAAAGATAGCTACGCCTGCCCTAGACAGCTCTCCCCAGCGGGGGATCTCACTAGCCTCCGAGAACTGCTGAGGCCAAGCGTCCGTCGGGCGGCCAAAGCAGCGCTGGGTGGGGTGAGCACCCCCACACTGCTCACCCGCGTGGTCGCCGGAGCGCAGGACGTAGGTGCACGGGCCAAAACCCCCACCACGCTGACGCTGCGTGTACCACTCACGGAGCTGCTGAGGAGGGGGGATGTCTCGAGAACGCTGCTGCTGCTGCTGCTGCTGCTGCTGCTGCTGCTGCTGCTGCTGCTGCTGCTGCTGCTGGCGCTGACTACTCCCGAAGCCGCTCCGCTGAGAAGCACCACCCCGACCAGCTCCACCTCCTCCACCACCGCCGCCTCCACCTCTGCCGCCACCGCCGCCTCTGCTCCCACCGCTACCGCCACCGCCGCCTCCGCCTCCGCCGCTGCCACCGCCACCTCCACCCCCGCCACCACTCCCACCGCCACCCCCACTCCCCCCGCCACCCCCACCGCCAACTCCACCACCCCCGCTAGCCCCACCCGCGCCCTTGCCCCCCTTGCCCTTGCTAGAGCGGCGTCTCCCGCTAGGGGCAGACGCCGCACCGACCGACTCAAGACCAACGAGGTCGGCCGCAGCAGCAGAGGCGACAGAGGGCAACAGGGGGGAAGGGGAACACCCCTCAAAGATGGGGGTGCGAGGGTCACCACGAGAGGCTCCTACAGCAACTCTGCTCTTCTCCGCCGCTAGGAGGGCCTTCTCTAGGAGGTCAACAGTGAGAGTGGTGGGACAGACTGAGAGGAAGTGGCCCCTGACTACACGAAGGGAGTCAGGGAGGCGGGTGACTATATAATAGAAAGTGATGTACATGGGGGGGGGTTCTTGGCGCAGAACTCAGCAGGAAGCGCGGCGCGGTAGCGAGTGTCACTAGTGCGGAGATGCGTAATGAGGTGAGCGACTGTGGGAAAGGCAGCAAGGTCAGGAAAGAGGTACGGTAGCATGAGGCGGCTCAGTGCAGTAGTGGCAGGGGAGGAGTAGCGTGCAACGACAGCGTCGTAGAAGGTCAGAGCACTCTTGTACTGGCTAAAGTGCGCGCGCTCAGTGGTAGGCAGGTGGCGACGCACGGCAAGACGTGCAGCAGCATCGCGAGTGGCCCATTGGGAGCGAACAGTGGCGTCGGCATCGGCAGTAGGGGCAGGGGAAGCACCAGAGGTGAGGTCAAAGAGGGAAAGACCGTCTGCCCTATCGCACTGTAGGAAAAGCTGCAGGTCATCCACCCAAATCTCAAAGTCAATGGCTCGACCCTCAGCGTCAAAAGCGAGAACACTGGGGGTAGCCATGACAACAGTGGACTAGCAGTACGAACTGTAGGACAGGGGCAGTGCAATGAAAGAAGCGCTGCTCTCACCAGGCAGGGCGGGTCTAGCAGCTCAGCGGTACAGCAGCACTGCAACACGGCTGCTCGGACGGCACTGCAGCAACTGCGGCTCCGTGGCACCAGCGGCTCGTCTCCTCAGGCGGCTCGGGCGGCCCAGGCGGCTCGGGTGGCTCGGGCGACTCGGGTGGCTCGGGCGGCTCGGGCTAGTCGGGCGGCTCGGGCGGCTCATGAGAGTCGGGCGGCTCGGGCGGCTTGGGCAGCTCGGGCAGGTCGGGCGGCTCGGGCGGTTCCGGCGGCTCGGGCGGCGCGGGCGGTGTAGGGCGGCAAGGCCGCTGGTGCGAGGGGCGGCTGAGGAGAAGGGCGGCGGGGCCGTTGAGTAGGGCGGCGGGGCCGCTGAGGAGAAGGGCGGTGGGGCCGCTGAGTAGGGCGGCGGGGCCGCTGAGGAGAAGGGCGGCGGGGCCGCTGAGTAGGGCGGCGGGGCCGCTAAGGAGAAGGGCGGCGGGGCCGCTGAGTAGGGCGGCAGGGCCGCTGAGTAGGGCGGCGGGGCCGCTGAGGAGAAGGGCGGCGGGGCCGCTGAGTAGGGCAGCGGGGCCGCTGAGCAGAAGGGCGGCGGGGCCGCTGAGTAGGGGTGGGGCCGCAGCGACGGGCGGCGAGGCTGCGGAGACGGGCGGCGGGGCCGCGATGCGGGGCGACGGGGCCGCTGTGACGGGCGGCGGGGCCGCACTAAAGGGCTGCGGGGCCGAAACGAAGGGTGGCGGGGCCGCTAGGGGAAGGGGGCGCTAGGGCGTAGGGGGGGGGGGGGGGGGGGGCGCTAGGGCGGCTCGGCGAGGTGAGAGCCCGTAGCGCGACTCGGGCGGAGCGCGCTTCGAGCAGGAGAGAAAAAAAAAAATTGAAACTCGATGTGGTGGGCCCTAGACACAGTTCCCAAGGGGGAACCTGCTCGATACCATGAGAAAAGTAGAACGAGAATGAATGACTAAGGAATGGAAGTGATACAAATATGCAACCCTAGAAATGTGTACCCCATATGGGCTACCCCACTATAGCGTTCACAATATTATAATTTGACACCCGATTAGGGTTAGTACTTGTACTCAGTTCATTCATAGTTCATTCATTCTCGTTTCTTCTCAGACACTTGATAATCAGAGCCGTTCTCACTCGACAACTCTCGGCTAAGCAGCGGTTGCTGAAAAAATCGCCTCAAAAACCCGCCGAGGGCGACCAATTCGACGCCGATTTTTGGTAAGCACCAGTTCCGCGTTTTTTGAATTAACCCCCTTGCGTGGTTTCTGAACAGGATGGGTTTGCCGGCGACCAACGACGTTACGCAGCAGCTCTTCGCGCAAATCGCCAAAATGGAAGCGGAGATGTGAGCGACTACCGAACGGTCGCGATTGAAGAACGAGCAGCTGCGAAATGAACTGCAGCGCATTTCGCAGCTCCTCTTGTCCATGAACATTCCTGCTTCGGCGACTTCGCAGCAGTCGCAGCGTCAGTTTGAGGCTCCGAAACTTTGCTCGCCGGAATCGTTCGACCCCAGCGACAGGAAATCCGACGTCAGGCGATGGCTCGCAACGATTGAAATTTATTTTGCGGCGATAGGATGGTCGACGACGGAATACGACGGCGAAAAAAATTGTCTCGCGACAACGTTGATGCGCGGTCAAGCTCTTGAGTGGCTCGGAAGCAACAATAGGATTTTCCAAGGCGAAGCCACGTGGCAGCAGTTCCGGGCAGACCTGCTCAAACGTTTGGAGCCGATTAATTCCACTTATATTGCGCGCGAAAAATTACATCATCATCGGCAATACGGGAGTGTCGCGCAGTACACGTAGCCGATGGAAGAATTTTATAATCGCATTCTCGACATTACTGAGGGTGAAAAAATTCAGTCCTACATCGCGGGGTTGAAAACCGACATTTGCCGCCAGGCTGCAGCAGCGAATTGCAGCAGCTTCAGCGAGATCGTATCGGCCGCGAAGCGTTTTGACTTTGTCAACGCCGGAACACGACGACCCCATGTCGTCAGATCACGACAAGGAGATCGCTCGGCTTCAACCACGTTCGCCGACCCCATGGAAGTCGACAAATTTGACGCGAAGTCACGTCCTGCAAAAAACAAAACGATTTGCGATTTTTGCGGCGGAAATGGACATCGATTTCCGACTATTTTGACATAAAAATCTCCGCAAAAACAGACTGGACCAAGACGGGAACTCTCCAATTCGACCCCGGAAACAAACAGAATTCGTTAAAGTTATCTTTCAAAGATGCTTTAATGAAGACTCTGTCAGAACATTATAGCTTACACATTTGTGTAGGCTGTAGTGGGGTAGCCCATAAGGGGTACAACCCAATTAGGGTTAGTACTTGTACCAAACTGTTTCATAGTGCATTCATTCCATTCTCACTTCTCGTCATGGTATCGAGCAGGTTCTCGAGTGGGAATACTGCCTAGGGCCCACCACGAACTTTTTTTTCCTTCCCTGCCCGGAGCGCCCTTAGCTACTAACCCGAGTAGCGCCTCGAGCCGCCTTACAAGCCCCTATTGGCCGCCCTTACTGCCCCTCGAGTCGCCCTCTACGGACTCGCTTAGGCCACTACGGCCCCGCTACGGCCCCGCTTAGGCCCCGTCGGCCCCGCTTAAGGCCCCGTCGGCCCCGCTACGGCCCCGCTTAGGCCCCGCTACGGCCCCGCTACGGCCCCGTCAGCCCCGTTGGCCCCACTACAGCCCCGCTTAGGCCCCGTCGGCCCCGCTACGGCCCCGCTTAGGCCCCGTCGGCCCCGCTACGGCCCCGCTTAGGCCCCGTCGGCCCCGCTACGGCCCCGCTTAGGCCCCGCTACGGCCCCGCTACGGCCCCGTCGGCTCCGCTTAGGCCCCGCTACGGCCCCGCTACGGCCCCGTCGGCCCCACTACGGCCCAGCTACAGCCCCGCTACAGCCCCGCTTAGGTCCCGCTGCAGCCCCGCTACGGCCCCACTTCGGCCCCGTCGGCCCCTCTATGGCCCCACTTAGGCCCCACTTCGGCCCCGTTGCCACCGCGGCCCCGCCCACCCTTGCGGCCCGCCGCCACCTGCGACCTTGCCACCACCTGAGACCCCGCCTCCCAGCGCCCGCAACGCCGACTAGCCGAACCGCCGGCCACCTGAGCCGCCCGACCTCCCGAGCCGCCCGGCAGCCGAGCCGCCAGACAGCCGAGCCGCCCAGCACCGTGCAGCCGAGCCGCCCAGCAGCCGAGCCGCCCGACAGCCGAGCCGCCCAGCCACCCAGCAGCCGAGCCGCCCAGCAGCCGAGCCGCCCTGTAGCCGAGTCGCCCGACAGCCGAGCCGCCGAGCAGCCCGATCGCTCCACCTACCTGGTAAGAGCACAGTCTCCGCCACTGCACTGCCCTGCCTCCTGCTGTTATGGCTTCCCCTAGCGTTCTCACCTTTGATGCTGAGGGTCGGGCAGTGGACTTTGAGGTCTGGGTAGATGATCTGCAGCTTTTCCTGCAGTGCGATAGGGGAGACGGTCTCTCCCTGTTTGACCTCACTTCTGGTGCCTCCCCTGCCCCTGCTGCTGATGCTGACGCCACTGTTCGCTCACAGTGGGCCACACATGACGCTGCTGCTCGCCTTGCTGTGCGCCGCCACTTACCGACCACTGAGCGTGCACACTTTAGCCAGTACAAGAGTGCTCAGACCTTGTACGACGCTGTAGTTGCACGCTACTCTTCCCCTGCCACTGCTGCACTGAGCCGCCTCATGCTACCGTACCTCTTCCCTGACCTTACTGCCTTTCCCACTGTCGCTGACCTCATTACGCACCTCCGCACTAGTGACACTCGCTACCGCGCTGCGCTTCCTGCTGAGTTCTGCGCCAAGAACCCCCCCCCCCCATGTACATCACCCTCGACTACATAGTCACCTGTCTCCCTGACTCTCTCCGTGTAGTCAGGGACCACTTCCTCTCTGTTTGCCCCACCACTCTCACCGTTGACCTCCTCGAGAAGGCCCTCCTAGCGATAGAGAAGAGCATAGTCGCTGTAGGAGCCTCTCGTGGTGACCCTCGCACCTCCGTCTTTGAGGGGTGTTCTCCCTCCCGGCGGAGGTAGTGGAGAAGGCGGAGGTGGAGGAGGTAGTGAAGGTAGTGGAGGAGGCGGAGGTGGAGGAGGTGGCGTAGGTAGTGGAGGAGGCGGAGGTGGAGGAGGTGGCGGAGGCGGCGGAGGCGGCGGCGGTGGTGGAGCGAGTCGCGACTCTGCGTCGAGGAGTGGCGCTGGTGGTGGTCACCACCAGCAGCAGCAGCGGAGTGGTGTGACCCTGTCCCCTCAGCAGCTTTGTCAGTGGTACAGTTCACGCCACCGCGGTGGGGGTTTTGGTCCTTGCTTTTACGTTCTCCGTTCCGGCGACAGCACTGGTGAGCAGTGCGGGGGTCCGCACTCCACCCAGCGCTGCTTTGGTCGTTTGATAGACGCGTGGTGTCGCCATTTCCCTGAGGCGTTAGAGATCCCTCGCTGGGGAGATCTGGCTAAGGCCGGGGTTGCCATCTTTAATCTTGACTTTGATGCTATTCTTGCTGCCATGTATGCTATTGCTGATAGTGTTGAGGGTGCCTGTTACCAGTGTGTACCGCCTGACCCGGGCATTGAGGCTGCTGCGCAAGGTGCTGGTGAGACTGCTGCTCTAGGTGCTAGTGCGTCTGCTGCCCCAGGTGCCAGTGCGTCTGCCGCTCCAGGTGCTGGTGAGTCTGCTCTCTCAGGTACTACGTCGGCTCAGGCCTTCCACACCTTCACCCTGGACTCGGGTGCGTCCCGCTCCTTCTTTCGAGACCGCACCACTCTTACGCCGCTCAATCGGCTGGTTGCAGTCTCCCTAGCAGACCCCTCTGGGGGTCCTGTCCTTGCTAGCTTCTCCACTGTCCTTACGTGCCCTGTAGCCCCCTCTGGCACCCTGTCTGGTCTCTACCTCCCCTCGTTCTCTACGAACTTGGTGAGTGGAGCGGACCTACAGGATCGAGGGGATGACCAGTTCACTCCTGCGAGTCAGCGAGTGACCCACTGCAGGTGTGCTCGGACAGGCCGACACTTGGCCACGTTCACCCGTCGGCCAGGGTCGAGCCTGTACACCCTTACTACTGAGTCTCCTCCTACTGCTGAGTCTGCCCAGGTAGCTGCGTCGAGTCAGGTGTTTGCTGCGGCGTCCAGGTCTGGTCCTGAGTCTGCCCCGTGCTCGTGTCGTCTGCTGTCCCACCAGACTCTCCTTTGGCACCACCGCCTTGGTCACCCGTCCTTGCCTCGTCTCCAAGGCATGGCCTCCCGTGTCCTTGTCTTTGGTCTTCCTCGGTCTCTCCCTCCCCTTCCTCTGGGGCCTGGCCCTACCTGCGTCCCCTGCGTCGAGGGGCGACAGCGCGCCGCCCCTCAGTCCTCCGAGTTTCCATCGACAGAGGCTCCGCTGCAGACTCTACACATGGACGTGTGGGGCCCAGCCCGCGTCAGTGGGCAGGGGAGAGAGCGGTACTTTCTGCTGGTCGTTGACGACTACTCGTGCTACACCACAGTCTTCCCCTTGCGCAGCAAGGGTGACGTCACTGAGGTGTTGATCGTCTTGATCCGCGCAGCTCGTCTCCAGCTCAGAGAGAGTTTCGGCTCGGACTTTCCAATTCTGCGTCTACACTCGGACAGAGGAGGAGAGTTTTCCTCTGCCCGTCTGGGAGCCTTCTGTCGGGCACACGACATCCGCCAGACCTTCACGCTTCCGGCCTCTCCACAGCAAAATGGGATTGCTGAGCGCCGCATTGGCATGGTCATGGACGTCGCACGTACGTCCATGATGCATGCGGCTGCCCCCCATTTTTTGTGGCCATTTGCGGTTCAGTACGCCGCGCATCAGCTCAACCTTCAGCCCCGGGTCTCCTTGCCAGAGACCTGCCTCGCCTTGCGGTGGACAAAGAAGGTTGGCGATTCGTCTGCGTTTCGTGTCTGGGGATCTCAGGCGTTTGTCCGCGACTTGTGTGCGGACAAGCTGTCCCCCCGTGCTGTTCCTTGCGTCTTCCTTGGCTTCCCCCCTGACGCGCCTGGCCGGCAGTTTTACCACCCCACCACGCGCCGTGTTCTGTCCTCCCAGGACGTCACCTTTGACGAGTCGGTGCCTTACTACCGTCTCTTCCCCTACCGCACTGCGCCCCTCCCCCCACCGCCGCTCTTCCTTGCGCCAGGTGCTACTCAGGTAGACCCCCTCCCTCCTCAGGGTCCTGCCCCGTCAGGTGTGTCCCAGGTAGACGCAGTCGAGCCTGTCGAGGTAGCTGTAGACTCTGGTGCTGCTAGAGGTGCTGAGCCTACGGGTGCCGGGTCCGCGGGTGCCGGGTCTGGGGGTGCTGAGTCTGGGGGTGCTGAGACTGGAGGTACTGAGCCTTGGGGTGCTGAGCCTGGGTGTGCTGAGTCTAAGGGTGCGGAGCCTGGGGGTGCTGGGTCTGCTCGTGTGGCCGCCGGCGGTACTTCGTCGAGGCGGGAGCCGCTCTCTCCACAGGAGCTGCGCGTGTGGTTCGCCCGCCGCTGGAGACGTGCTGCTGAGTCTGGGGGTGTTGGCGCTGGTGTTTCTACTGGTGCTAGTGCGTCTGGGGGTGCTGCTGAGGCAGCTGGTGCTGACGGTCCTACTGGAGTTGGTGCTGGTGGATCTAGAGCTACTGGGGGTGTTGGCGCTGGTGGTGCTGCTAGCGCTGGTGCTTCTGAGGGTACTGGACTTGGAGCTGTTGGAGCTGGAGGTTCTACTGACGCTGGTGCTGCCGCTGGGGGTACTGGTGCCGTACTTGCTGGTTCTAGAGGCGCTGCGCGGCCAAGGCCGTACTTCGTTCCGCTCCTGGAGCAGGTTCTTGGTCTCCCGCCCTCTACTGGTCCTGCTCCTCCCCTAGAGTGTCCACAGCCTGTCCAGTCGTAGTCACAGTTACCGCCCGCCTCCCCTCTACCTGCTCCTTCTCCCTACGCTGGTCCTACTGGAGGTCTTGCTGAGCGTCCTGAGCCTGCGTCTCGTCCCGCGTCACCTATTCGTACTGCTCGCACTAGTGGTCGCACTACACGTCCACGTCCTCCTGCGGTCCCTGACACACACCTGTTGGCACTGCGTCCTTCCACTGCTCCTCTGCGTGTCCCGTTGCCGTCTCCTCGAGAGTCCTCTCTTCCTTCTCTTGCTGACCCGGAGTCTGACTCCCTTCGTGCTGCTAGTCCTTCGGTCACGCGCATACTTGCTACTGTCGTCACTGACCCTTCCTTTGAGTCTGCTACTGCGTCTGCTCTCGTTGCTGAGCTTGTCGACTTCGCTGCTCGCTGTCGTCTAGACTACGCTGCCAGTCTTGTTGTTGAGTCTGAGTCTGTCTGTCCTCCGTCCGTCGCGGGTGAGTGTAATCTTAGCACGGACGTCCTTGAGGACAGGCAGAAGGAGTTCCAGTGCTTTGCGGCTGCTTTGCCCCATCTCGTGTCCACGCTGATTGCCCCTCAGGGAGACTCGGATGCACAACACATCCCGACTCCTCGATCGTACACTGAGGCGATCGAGGGTCCCTACTTCTCTTAGTGGCAGTCGGCCATGGACACAGAGATGGCTTCCTGAAAGTCCACAGGCACCTACGTCGACGAGGTTCCCCCACCTAGGGCGAACATCGTCAGTGGGATGTGGATCTTAAGGGTGAAGCGGCCGCCGGGCTCTCCGCCTGTCTTCAAGGCGCGTTACATGGCTCGAGACTACAGTCAACGGCAGGGAGTTGACTACTTTCAGACCTTCTCTTCCACCCCGAAGATGACCACTCTTCGGGTGCTGCTGCACATAGCCGCTCAGTGCGACTACGAGCTTCACTCTCATGACTTCAGCACAGCTTTCCTGCAGGGCAGCCTGCACGAGGAGATCTGGCTGCGCCGCCCTCCTGGCTTCACTGGGTCGTTTCCTCGTGGCACCCACTGGAGCCTCCGGCGGCCAGTCTACGGTCTCCGCCGGCCGCGCCGTGAGTTGCACGACACACTGAGGACTACACTTGCGGCTCTTGGGTTTGCTCCTTCTACAGCTGACCCGTCGCTGTTTCTACGCACCGACACCTCTTTGCCGCCGTTCTACATCCTCGTGTACGTCGACGACCTGGTCTTTGCCACTACTGACACTGCTGGACTCCCCCACGTGAAGTCTGCGCTGCAGAAGAGACACACGTGCACAGACCTGGGTGAACTGCGCAGCTACTTTGGCATGCAGATCACCCGGGACAGAGCACAGCGCACCATTACTCTGACTCAGTCACACATGGTACAGCAGGTCCTTCAGCGCTTCGGCTTCACGTACTCCTCGCCTCAGGCCACTCCTCTGTCTACTTGCCACTCGCTCTCAGCTCTACCTTCAGATGAGTCCGTAGAGTCGAGTGGCCCGTACCCAGAGCTTGTTGGCTGCCTCATGTACCTGATGACCTGCACTCGACCTGACCTTGCATACCCTCTTAGCATCTTGGCACGCTATGTTGCTCCTGGGAGACACCGACCAGAGCACATGGCTGCAGCGAAGAGGGTGTTGCGCTACTTGTGCAGTACGTCGGGCATGGGGCTAGTGCTTGGAGGGCGACGTCGAGTAGTCCTCAGAGGTCACGCTGACGCTTCTTGGGCTGACGACCAGGCTACGCAGCGGTCGTCACAGGGTTACACCTTCAGCCTTGGCTCCGGCTCTGTTTTGTGGTGGTCTACCCGCTCGTCCTCTGTTCTCGGCTCCAGCTGTGAGGCTGAGATCTACGCAGGGGCCATGGCTGCACAGGAGCTACGCTGGCTCACCTACCTGCTGACTGACCTTGGAGAGCCGCCTCGTTCTTCTCCAGTTCTGTACGTAGACAACAAGGCCAAGCTGGCCTTGTGTCGGGAGCACATACTGGAGCACAGAACGAAGCACATTGCTCTCCGCTA